GAACCGGGGCCTCTGGCGCCCCAAGCCAGCGCTTAACCAATGTGCCACTCGTCCGGCCCTTATTTGCCAATTTAAGAAGTAAAATGTCGTTTACCCTTTTGTTGTTACGTGTCCATTTTGGATAGGATTGGACATCTTGGCATGTTTATTGTTTCTTTGCATTTATAGTTTTATGAATTGCCTGTTCACATCCTCTGCCCCATTTTTTACTACATTATTCATCCCTTTTTCACATTGATTTCTTCATATTTAAATAACCCTTTGTCATGTATTGCAAATCTTTTCCTCCCCAGTTTGTTTCTTTCAACTTTCTGTTTTGTGTCTTTTGACAAATAGAACTTTAAATTTTTCTGAAGTTGCAAATCTGTATTTTATGGCTTTAGAGTTTTGTTATCCTTGTCGCATGAGATAAGGATACTTTAGAAAGAATTGACAACTTTATTCTGTTGAGTCTTCCTGTCTAAGAAATTCATTTTCACGTATCTTTTCATATTATTCAGTTGGGTTTTAATAGTTTTCTTCATGTAAACCCTGTACTTCTGATAACATAGTCCAAGATAATCTGGTTTTATAGCTATATGAATGGAATTTTTCATTACATATTCCAGTTGGTTCTTTTGATATACTAACGATTATTTATATCCATCTTATTGAACTCTGTTTTTAATAGATTAGGCTGAATTCTCCTGAGTTGCTAGTCATTTATGAAACAACTCCAAATAATGGTATCTTTGCCTCCTTTTCCCAATAGTTTTATCTTTTATTTTGTTTGCATTTCTAACAGCTTTGGCAAGTACTTTCAGAATAATATTAAGTAATAGTGGTGATAATTGGTCTTATTGGTTCTTAACATTCATGGGACTTTTAAAATATTTTACTATTCAGCTTGATGTTTTTGACCTATGAGCATAATTTAGTTATATTAAAGAGACAAATCTTCTAGTCTTACTTCTCAAAAGGTTTTTTTTAAATTGGATTACAAGCTAAATTTTATCAAGTGCCTTTTCAACATCTAATGAAATGATCATACTTATTTTCTTTTACCTGTTAATAGAATCAGGTATAATAAGAGAGTGTCTAACATTATACTCACTCTTAGATTCCTGGGGAAATTCCCGCTTGGTCACAGTGGGTTTTTGTTGTTGTTTGTTTTTGGGTTTTTTTAAGATAATACTAGATAGCTTAGAAGTTCCTAGTTATCTGAGTGTAATAATTGCTACTGGAAAAGTCTACATAAAATAAATCCTTCAAAATGAGACCTAAATTTTTTAATTGTTAAGTGGGAGAAAGAATTTGAAACCGGAAACTAAAATTATGACAATATTATATTGAACAAATTTTGTTATTTTTGTCCTAGGCACTAATTTTTAGAAAAAAAAAGATTTTTTCAGACCATTTTGTTCTACCAAAATACTACTTATTTTATTTTTTATTTTTATAGTACAGTTTTAAATAAGATATTTTTAACAAGTATCTTTTTGAGGCATCATCATTTTCTCAGGGGACTTTCCTTATATGTTGATATTCAAATTATTCTCTTAAAATTGCCATCATGTTATTTTTTATATCAGATTTCTTTGTTCAGTTGTTAACTGATCTATCTCTGCCAGAGCCTTATCTGCCATTGGCTTTGGGTATGAATTTTCAAACATCACTTTCCCTAGACTGCATGAAAATTCTTCAACTTTCACAACTGTAAAATTTTCAGTTTTACTTTGCAGTTAGTTTGTATTGCATATTACGACACTCATCGCATATATTACCACATCCAATCAACTGAGGAGCCAGTGTGATGAGCAGAAAGAGATGCTGTTATTAAGTGGAAAGGAACATTTGTGTTGGGGCCAATTATAAAAGAATAGGAAAGCAAAGACCCCATAACATGAAAATATTCACTAATATTGCGTTGTCTGAAAAGTCATGACGTATTTTTTTCTATGTTTTCATTGCAAAATTGCATCAGGACTTTTCCGACAACCCAATATTTTCTTATATTCACTTTGTAACTACTCAAATTTCAGTAATGAATACTCCTGCATCAATATTTATGAGCGAGCTTGATACATAAGCAGAGGGGGACACTTTCCCTGGGGTCCATAGTTAGAATTTAGATAGTCCAGAAAGTTGACCAGAAAAAAATTTTTCAACTTTATTTTCATTAACCTATAATGTAAATATAGCTTTCCATTTATAAACAAACTACAGTAGTATTAGCAGCACTTATCCTGTCACAATGGAAATCACAGATTACTTTCATATTATTTTACAGTTTTCACAGATATTATGAAATGCAACTTAGCCTCATCACTACTTCAAAATTATTCTAATGACTGGGTCTACCACTAAGTATTTAATTTCTAGAAGAAACATATATATTATTCTATCTCGCTTAAAATACAGTTTGATACTTGATTTTTCTTGTAATCTTACATATCTTATTTTTATAGATTATAAAGCTTTATGCTGAGTAGGGACCCATTGGCTTTACTGGACTGCCTAAGGGTGGGTCATGACATAAAATGTGATTACTAACTCTGATTTATTTTTTCTGTTTTATCTTAGAATGTATCAGTTATATCTTTTAGTCCTAGCATTGTATCCCATAGTTTTCTTTAAAAAATGGGTGCTTTCCTTTTTTTTCTCTTCTGGAACAGGTTTAAACACTAACATTATCTTGTCCTTGAAGGCTTAAAATAACTCACACATGAAACCATCTAGGCCTGGATGGTTTTTGAGAGGCAGTTCTTAGACAACTTTCTCAATTTCTTCCCCCAAAATTAGTCTATTTGGTTTATTTAGCTCTTCTTCCATTAATTTTGGTCAGTTATATTTTCATGGAAATCTATTTCTTCCAGGTTTTAAAATGTATTGGCATATTATTCTTGCACAATTCCTTAAATTTCCTTTGCACCAGTGATTAATTTAAAAGCAGTATTGAAGAAGTAATCTTCATTTTATTAATCACAAGTCTCTGCATACATTGGCAAAGTTCTAGTATAATTATGTGGAGACATCATTTACTGACTTTAGGTGGCTCATAGTTTTCCCAGCGTTCAGATTAGGAGACACTATTTTTTAAAATGTGGGGTTAGAAAAGGAACTTTGCACCTATTCCAAGTTAATTTCTACCTATTCCAGGTTAGCAGAGGTGGTTCTGGGACTGATGCTTTGGGGCAATGCTCTCATTGTCTGTGCTGTGGGCAGTCCGCTCATTCACTTGTTGAGGATGCCAGAATGAAAGTGCATTAATGAGCAACTCTGTTTTACCAGCCAGTAGTTACAACCAGTTGATGGCCCTGAGTCCCAGAGAGAGGGACAGGGTCTAGGAGACCATTCTGTTGTCACATACTGGAACACTGGAACCCTTGGAAACCTATGGTCTATGCTGGGAGGACTGACTCAAGAAAGCCAGTTATAAGCAGGCAATGGAAATGTCAGGGTTCACATAGGTCTAACCTTAAAAATTAAACCTTAAGGTCACTAGAAAAGCATGATGATTTCCTGGGATATTGTGCTTCTTGAAGACAAACGATAATTTAGGGAGTATTGGAACTATCAAACTTTCTCATACATTGGGTGCAGGTAGATTCATTACACATTATTTCTTTTTTTCTTCCTTTTATTATGCAGCTACTCTCCAGAGAGACCGGATCTTTAAACATTTTACCAGGAAGCGCCAAAGGGCGATGCGAAGGCGAGTGCACCAGATCAATGGACACAAGTTTATGGCCACATACCTAAGGCAGCCCACCTACTGCTCTCACTGCAGGGAGTTTATCTGGTAAGAGGTTCCCTGGCTTCTCTCCTAAGATTTCCCTGTAATAGAGGCTTCCTCTGGTTGTGTGCAGTTTCAGGAGAAAACATGATTATTAAGAATTGTTTTAGGATCTGATTTTTGTCTCTTATTCTAATATGTTTACCTGACCGTTTTAATTCCCAATGAAAAAAAAAATTGAAAGAATTTACAGATCCAAGTTGCAGATGTTATTTCCTTTTTCCAATCATTTTGGTAAAGGTTTTAATGAATCATGAACTGGCCACTCATTGACAGGCTAAATCAACCAATAAATAATCTGCTCCTGAGGAAGAAACAAATATCAGCCGCATTGTATTAAGAAGGCATGACTCACATGATGAGTTATCGAAATTAATTGTTACAAGTACAGTAAGCACACAGTAGTTAGCCTTCAGCCTTATGACGTGCAGCCAAGGGTAATAACTTTTAGTGATTATTTATAACACTATAATCCCTGGCCTTTAGGAATTAAGGTAATTAATAGTTAAGAAATTCTAGATGAATTGGGGCAATATCTTTAATATACATGTGACTCAAGCTTCAGTCTCAGTGGCAAATCGATAATGTAAAATAAATTTAAGTAATAGTTATCTTTGCTTAGAGACAGGATTAACATATATACTTGGAAAGAGAAGGAAGAGATACCCCCTCACACACATATGAATATACACACACACCCATCTCAGAAGGAGAAAACAGTTTCGTATCTGCAGCATGAAAGGAGACCTGTGTTTTTGTTGCAATCTTGAGTCATTTTGTTTAAGGTAGAAACACTTGATTCAGAGTAATTTCTGAATATTGGTCAATTAATTTCTTTTTTTTTTTGAGATTACTTTGGATTTTATACCTTTTAGGCTGAATCCAGGGTTAGTTAGTATTTCTATAATTTTTAACCAAGATTAGGGCCTTGTCTAAAATTAAAGGTCTCAAACGCTGTTGACAGGAAGCCAACAAATTTGCTATCACAACTATAGCCTTTAGGAAAAAAGATCCTACTGCATTTTCTATTGAAAAATATCAGAAGCTCGGGCATATTTTAGCCCATTTTTCTTTTTTGCAGCAGCCTGCACAGCCTAGTTAGCTGGAGCCACACCTCTCCCTGTGGTCGGCCTGACCTAAAGGGTGACGGTTCATTGCTCTTTATTTCATCTCACACCGTTCTGTTCTCCTCCTTTATGTGACCGTTTGTCCCTGAAGGTATTTGTGGTGACAACCTGTGACCTCAACTAACGTTCTTAGTGGAAACTTATTAATTTCACTAACTTTTTTCCACGAAGGAAACAACTCGCACCCAACCAGCCTTTTCTCTCTCTCTTTTTCCATCCCCCATCCCTCCAGCACACACACTATTGGTACCTGTGTGACATATACATGGTTACACGTATGGACTCTGGCATTCAGTCTCATCGCCAACTGTTGTACATGTGTGAACCTAGACGCGTTATATAACCCGTCCGTGTCTCGTCACTTGCAAATTAGAGACAATAATTTTATTTTGTTTATATAATAAACTTGTATACAGCATTTAAAGTGCTGGGCACTGTTCTCAGTATTTTACATCATCAACTCTTTTTACCTTCATGATAGCCCTATGAAGTAGGTACTGTGATCCATTATCCCATTATAGAGGAAACTATGGCTGGAAGAAGTTAACAACTTTCCCCAAGCCACACCCAGGCCATCTGGCTTCAGGGTCTGTGCTCTCAGCCCTCCTGTTATATGTGCTCGCTCACAGAGCTTTGTGAGGGTTCAGTGAGGTGGCATATGTCAGCCACTGGGCTCAGTGCCCAGCACATCCTGTGGGCTTACTAAAATGCGGTCTTTGTTAATGAGAATGAGAGCTATATCACCTTCACCCAGAGACTATACTGGGGAGGGGCAGAGGTGGAAACTGGGCATGATGGGCATGTTGTGGCCTCACTTCTGCTTTCCCATGGACTCCAGGTGATGTGAGCAAGGGAAGAGGGAGGGTGCCTTGGGCCAGGCAGCTGCGGTGGACTCATCTGTTCACATCCATATGTGTATCTGCATCTGTGTACTTCACCCCCTGCACACCCCTACATATATGTGAGAGAGATGCTCTGTGAGGTGGGGGAGTGATGCTTCCGGCTGAGAGGCTCAGAGCACATAGATGAGGATTTGGGGGATTGCCACAGAGGTGGGTGGGACGAGAATTACCGATACCCACCTGTTTATATCATTTGGAGCATTCTAATACATCAGATGGTTTCCTCTGTGTCTTGTGGTAACAAGGGCTCCAAAAGCACATTTTTGCTTCTTCTCTAAAAGTGTGTTTTTCATAAAGGATCAAATTTGGTTTCCTTAAGTACTGTAATTTTAGGGGCATTGTTGCTGAAATATTCAACTGATGGTAACTTTTTTCTCTCTTGTCTTGCACAGGGGAGTATTTGGGAAACAGGGTTATCAATGCCAAGGTAAGAAAACATTTTAAAAACTATGTTTAATCTTGTTCCTATGTTGAAAAGTGATTGTACCAAGAAGAAATAGGATACATTCCATTAATATGGAAAATAACTCTGTAGGTCAGATGAGACACCACCCACCCCCCAACCCACCATAGAATTACAACTCATTAGTTTTGGTTAAATTTTGGCTATGTTCTCTAGACAATGTAGAGGGGATGTTTTTATTCCTAAAGTCAGGATACCTAATAAAGTTTGATTGTTTAAAGTTTTGTCTCTGAAATAACATGAAAGTACTAAAAGGTAATGTCATTTTGTGAGCAGTGCCCTTGAATCGTGAAGATAAATTTTTGTGTGTGTGGTTTTGTTTTTGTCCTTTACAATTCCATTGTCAATAGGCGTTACAGGTAGCACAATGCTGTTTTGTCTTTACCTGATTGGAAATAGAAGCTATTATTCAAATTACTTTTTAAATTTTTTTTATTTTTTTAAAATGTGAGAAATGTACAAAGTTAAACTGTTAATGATCTTGTAAGTTATTATGCATTCAATTTATTTTGATTTTCACAATTCTAAGATCAACCCAACTTACTAGTGTTCAGGTAGAATTGGAATGAAATAAAAGTGAGAAGAGTAAAAGTGACTCCTTACTCAGGAGATTTATCCAGGCTGGATTGGGCTTTTCTTTTATTGGGGCCTCCCATCTTGTTCATTTGGCTATCATCACACATTTTATACATATGATGTCATCTTGACCTATACGCTACAGGTGATGGGTAAAATAGCACTACATATCCTAGAGTGAGTGGTAGCCTATGTGTAAATAAGGAAATCCTGCCTTCTCTGCCAGAGGAGGTGAGATAAAACATTATTTCCCTTAGAATGAAATAAGACATACTCATGGATCTAATTTTTACTTTAGTATGTATGAACAATTAATTTTGTTACATCCTGAAATTTAGAAAAAAATGAATATATAATCCATACAACAATAATAATTGACTTCATGCTATTAATCTCAGCTCTTAAGGAGAACATAGTTCATAGGTTAGACTCAGTCACTTTTTGGCCTGGATCTGTCCAGCTCAAGGATATGCCCTGGTCAACTCCAGTCCATCTTATGCATAGTGCCAGGGTATTTGATGGGCTGATTTTCAGTGGGCCATATTCTATTAAAAGAGCAGGAAAGTACATTGGTCAGGCGATATAAATAGACCAGTTAGTTCACATCTTGCTAAGAGATATAAAATAAAATACCTGGTCGGAGAAAGATATACCATGGTAACATTAATCAAAAGCAAATATACAAAGCAAACTTAAGATCAAGAAAAATTATCAGAGATAAGGAGAGGCATTATGGAGTTTTAAAGGGGTCAGTTCTTCAAGAACACACAACAGTCCTTAATGTGTATGCACCTAACAGGCATCAAAATACATGAAGCAAAAACTGGGAAAACTTCAAGGACATATAGACAAATCCACTATTATAGTTGGAGACTTCAGTAACTCGGTAGGTAACTGATAGATCCAGCAGACAGAAAATCAGTAAGGATATCACAACTTGATCAAATTGACATTTATAGAACACTTCATCTAACAACAGCAGAATACACATTCTTCTCAAGCTCACAAGGAACATTTATCAACATAGACCACAATCTGGGCCATCAAACGAATTTTAACAAATTAAAAAAAGTAGAAATCATAAAAAAGTATCTTTTCAGACTACAATGGAATTAAACTACAAATGAATAACAGAAAGATAGCTGGGGAAGCCCCAGATATTTGGAAATTAAACAATACATTTTAAACAACATGTGGGTAAAAGAAGACTCAAGAGAAAATAAAATAATATTTTGAACCAAAGTACAGTTGACCCTTGAACAACAGGGGTTTGAAACCATCGGGTCCACTTATATGTGGATTTTTTTTTTCAATAAATACCTATACTGTTTCCATCTGTGGTTGGGAGTCCGTGGATGCGGAGGGCCAACTGTATGTGTTGATCTGTGCCCTTTTGTATAGAAGACTTGAGCATCCATGGATTTTGGTGTCTGGGGGGTGGGGAATGGCCTGAAACCAATCCCCCACAGATACTGAGGGACAACTTAAATTTGGGGAATTAGAAGTTGTATGTGGATTTTCAACTGTTCGAGGAGTCAGTGTCCTTGACCTACACATTGTTCAAGAATCAATTGTACATTTAATCAAAATATGTGGAATGTAGCAAAAGCAGTGTTCAGAGAGAAATTTATAGCATTAAATGCATGTATTAGAAAAGAAGAAGGATCCAAAATCAGTAATGTAAGTTTCATCATAAGAAACTAGAACAAGGACAGAAACTTAAGTTTAAAGTGAGCAGAAGAAAAAAAATAATAAAATTAGAGTAGAAATCAGTAAAATTGAAATTAGGAAAACAATAGAGAAAACCTACTAAATTAAAAGCTGGCTCATTGAAAAGATCAATAAAATTGATAAACTTCTAGCCAAGTTAACTGAAAAAAAACCCCCACAAAATCCCAAATGTCTTCGAATATAAGATTTTTCTGTGTGAAGGATGGTTTTGAGATCCCCTCAAATAAAAAGACCAGTTCTCTGGGAACTGTCAATCTGGGTCTCCTGAGAATTCAATCTGATGAAAGCTGTATTTGTTTTAAAGCATAGTGTTATTTGCTCACATGTCATCTGTCTTTATGTATTTAATCCTGAAAACTTCCACATGTCTTGAAAGATCTTTAAAACGATGTAGATGTATATTTTCATACTCTTTCATTGCACATGGTCCTTTTTCAATGGCAAACTGGACTCTGTCTGCACAATGTCAGTTATCTAGATGAAAATGAAGAAACTTATTCAGAAAGTTCTAAATATTCAAACAATTGATTGAATCATTCTGCAAATATTTAATGAATACCTACTTTATCCAAGGCATCATGTTGGCTGAGAATCCTAAGGGCATTATAGGCTATCTGTGGAAAGTTTGAACTGAGGAGGGCAGGCTAAATGTAGGAGATAGGAGGAGGGAGAGATGGTCTAGAAGGGCTGCCAGAGGTAGTGTATTTTCATGGAAGAGTCATGTTTTAAAGCTGTGTCTTGTGTATACACTTAAGATTTAGTTAGGCAACAGGAAAGGAAGATATCCTAGGGATTGAGAAGGACATGGAGAATGTATGGGAGAAGGTGAAGAAGACTTGCCCTTGGAAGAGAAGCTAGCCTAGTTTTTATGGGAACAAAGAGTTCCCATAGAAGAAAAGTGATGGTAAGCTTGAGGGGTGGGCTCTGAAGGGCCTGAAACCTGTCTGGGAAATTTGAACTCTATTGATTGGCAGGGAAACACCATTGAAGGTCTGGCTCATGGGGCAAGATGACCAGAATCATGCTGTGAGAAGATTCCACTGGAGGTGGGCACAGGAAGGATGAATTAAGCTCAGGACTTGAATCAGAGTAGTTTGAGCATGAGCAAGGGCTGAGTTAAGATGATAAAGCAAATAGGGGTGACGGGAGCACTGGCTGCCATTATATGTGCCAGACATCCAAATCAAGCACCTTGGCTTGGTACAGCCCTCTTGACTCTAGTGTAACTGGCCAGACTGTGAGCTTCCGATAAATGTATAATTGTGGATTTAATTTCCTAGTGTGCACCTGTGTCGTCCATAAGCGCTGCCATCATCTAATTGTTACAGCCTGCACTTGCCAAAATAATATTAACAAAGTGGATCCAAAGGTAAGAGGATAGCAGTTTGCTAATTAGGTGCCTGCATGAACTCATGCTCAGACATGTTCTCTCTCTTTCTCTCTCCATCTTTTCCTCCTTGCTTCCCATTTCCCTTTGACATTCCTTAAAGCCTAATCAGAATTGGAATTTCTCTCCTTTTCATGTTATGGCTGTTGTATTTCTGTACTTGTGTAGCATGACCTATCCTTGAGGTGATCCCATTAGTGATCAGCTGGGTATAAGTTATAGGAATTCAGTTCTACTAATTTGGAGAAAGCTTTGGAGGAGTGAAGAGATCCCTGAGTTTGGCATCAGGTGACTGGAATTTGAATGCAAAATCCATCCTTTGCTAGCTAGCTCCTCTCTCAGCCGCAGTCTTAAAATGGGATCAGTACTTCCCTTGTGCAATTTTTGTGAGGATTAAACAAGATAGAATTAATGTGATGAGTATGCTATTAACTGTGAATTGTGCTTCCTGAATAAGGTGACTGTTGGCATCCTCCAGCCTCTCAAGATATTTCAGGGAGGATGTATATCTTTGCATAAATGCTTGACCGTCACGTCACTCTTGCCACTTGCATTTGCATTCATCTGGGGTAGGCATACATTCTAAATTCTGGAGGTAAAAAGAAGGAGCATTGCTGATAATTAGCAGTGAATATAGATGCATTGAAATGTCTGACTCTGGAACTCAGTGGTTTTTTATTGTCTACATACAAGATTGCTGAAGAGTATACATAGAGGCGAGTTACTTTCTTTTATGAGAAAGAGGCCAGAAAAGTTTCAAGAACAGTAGTAATTGCCCCATTTCTTGTCATGTGTTGATCTGTTGTTGTTGCTTCAAATTGTGATATAGATTGTAGAGCATATGCCTAGTCTGTTTGCTGGAGACAGTATGTGAGATTATACTTGATCTTAGCCAAAAGGTCAAGAAGTGACTGTATCTGAGATTAAACCTTTGCACTCAGATGTCAGAATGCAAATGCCAGACAAAGGCTGGAAGGGCTGAATTCAGATAGCCACTTGAATGTCACTGTGGAATGAATTTCTTCTGTGGTTCCATGCCCTCGGGGTGCCATCTTCTGCTCCCACCCCCACCTTGTAACACAATTTCTGGAAGAACTTGTGGTGATCACAAGTGCATGCAGCCTATAAAAGACCTATTTAATCTGGAAGTTAAAAGGTTCTAGGAAGTAGACGTGAGTGTGAGGATGTTGGCAGAGACAGAAATACAGCCCGAATATAAAAGATGAAGTGAAAATTTCTATTTCTATTGATCTCCTCAAAGGGTGAACAGTCAATTATACACCACATGTTTCTGTCCAGTCTTATTCATTAGGAAATATGCTTACTTTGGTTAGTAAGGCCTGAGTAATTAATTGTGGCTGAGCAGTAAAATAATATACCCAGCTCAGGTATCATAGTAACACTCTGTTGCGTGGGCTCCTATTACAGTTTTGACAAACATTGGTGTGGAGCATTAGCTCTTGTCTTCCTGTTTTCTTTTTACAGATTGCTGAACAGAGGTTTGGAATCAACATCCCGCACAAGTTCAACATCCACAACTACAAAGTGCCAACGTTCTGTGATCACTGTGGCTCCCTACTCTGGGGGATAATGCGACAAGGACTTCAGTGTAAAAGTGAGATGCTGGGGCACTGGGTACTCACTACTTCATGAGAACACCAGGCTGCGAGCTTTTGAAATGACATAGGTTCAGAATCTGACCCAGGACAGATGGTTTTAAATACTTTGTAAATTAACATCTTAGTAGTTTTATATTTATGTGTCCCTTGTCAGGCTTGGAAAGAGAGCGACATCTGAGTCAAAGGTTTCCTAACCATAGAACATTAAGTCAGTTGTTAAATTCAGTGTTCTAGCAAGCTGGCTATCATCTATTTAGTGCTGAGTACATACTAGTCATTGTGTGTTTTAAGAGGTATTTGAAAGGAGACAAAACTGGGATCTTGGTCAGAAGTGGAAGAGGGTAGTGAGGCAGCCAAAAGAGAAGCTTGGGTTGTGAGTAAGAACTGGCAGGAGAGTAGGTCTGATGACCTCACCAGAAATAAGCAGGAATTGAGTTGTAAAAGCGTGACTCAAGCTGCCCCGGGTCTTCTTGAGGAGCATTGTGGTAGAGATTGGAAGGGTAGGTGGAATGGAGAACACTTAAGCTTTGGCCACGGGCCTGCACTGCAATAACTATGCCCAGTGGAATCCGAGTTTGGAGCTTTTACCTCGGCAAAGGGTTTAGGGTAAGGGCTGAGCCCTGTCCTGTTAGGAGTTGGGGAGCTCTTGCCCTTGAGTCATCTCCCATTGACTGTTGCTGTGACAATGTGGCTCTCACGGGGAGCCAGGGTTAGCATCAGTGCAACTGGATCACTAACTTTCAGTGAAAGCCCGGACTTACCAAGCCTCCTTCTGTCAACAAAAAGGGACCAGTCACTTGTTTTTCAGAAGTGCAAATTCTTGTACCTCTCTACAATACTGTTTAAGAATTCTTTTTTCATATAACCAAAGCACGCAGCTCATGTAGAGCTTTGGTTTGGGCACTGCTTGATCATGATGAGCTGGATGATCTCATGTGGGCATGGGTTTCCAGCTTGGAAGTCACTTTCTGCTTTTGTATGGTTGTTGCTGATACGTGGAGCCATGTTTGGGGCTCATCTGCATTGTTCTTGTCCCTGGTGGCCTGAGGGTAGCACACCTGCACTGGTCCTGCTCTCATAATTTTTGCTTTTATTGTCACAGGCTGCTTTAGAAAGGCCACTGTAGGCTTGTGTGTCTCTGTACCAGCATTCCTGAGAGAGGTAGATGTCCCATGAAGCTAATGAAACTTAAACCTCAGGGCCCCTCCCTTGCAAGGGCACCTTTTAGAGCTCTCCAATTGGTTGGGGATTCTTTTTCTTAAAGAAAAGAGAATTGCACCCTAAATTACATAAATTCAGGCCCTACCCAACCTGAACCTGTGCACACTTCCAAAGTTGGAGTGACACTCCAGAAACAGCAGTTTGTTTGCTGCCTCCCATCAGCAGGGCCCATATGAAAAAACTATGAAAACGTTCTGCTGATTAAACCTCGGTCCTTCATCGCCCCAAGTCAGCTTCCTGTGCACAGGAGCTGAGCTTGCTTCACTCTCCTCTTCCAACTGCCGTTTACTGTGACCTTTAAAACCCTTGCTTTTTTTTTTCCCCCCCCTCCATGAAGAAGTTAGAGCCACAGACTGCAAACACTGAGAACCACAGCCCCACAGGATGCCTCGCTGTGCTGTGAGGGCCGCCGACCACAACAATACTCAGAAAGCTTCACTGAGAATTTCTCTGTCAGAAACACCATTTCCACCCTGTTTAAACAGAGATCTACATATGGCGCGTACACTGCTACTTTTCACTGAGCGAAGGAAAAGCATCAAGTCAATTGGCATAATTCCTTGTTATTCAGTTGAGTGAACTGTTCACTCTGATGAACGTTTTGATCTCTCTTTTGAATCAAGCCGTTAAATCGGCAGTGACGGTTACACGTGATTTAGATGAATGTCTTTCATCAAGTCACAATGAAAAAAAAATGTTTTGAAATCTATTATTCTTCAGTATTCCAGGCTTTCTGCTTCTGCACAGAATAGAAATAGATAAAAACGTCAGGGATTGTTAGGAGTGTGAGCTTAATTTTATGAGAAGATAGCATTGTTCAGCCTGTATAATTCCTCTGTCATCATCTCTCAGGTTATTAAAGTTCTCTTGCCCAGCACATGTTGACTTGGCTCCTTTATGAATTTGGCGCCCCTTCTCTTCCCTCCAGTGTGTAAAATGAACGTCCACATCCGATGTCAGGCGAACGTGGCCCCAAACTGTGGGGTGAACGCGGTGGAGCTAGCCAAGACTCTGGCTGGGATGGGCCTCCAACCCGGAAATATTTCTCCAACCTCGGTGAGACTTTGCTTTTCCCACGTAGTGTAATTTAGAAGTTCAGATGTTGTAAGCCCGAATGAGCCACGTGGCATAATTGAAGTTCCTAATCTCAGCAAACACAATAAACAGATTTATTGCATTTTTAAAGAGCATTTTGTTCCACACATAAGATTCTATATGCAATTATGACACAAGAATTAATGAGCATGCAGATACAGAAAGAAGCAGAAGGAATATTTCTTTTCTTTTTTTTAAAGTCGGCTTCCTGTCAGTGTGGTCTGGTAAAAAGCTTGGACTCCAGGGGTCTGGGTTATGCTCTTGGCTGGGCCCCCCGCAGTGCATTTCACTGGTAACAATGGGCCTTAGCTTCCTCCTCTGTGAAGGCACTGAATTTGAAGATCCCTGAGGTTCTCCAAGAATCCAGCAGTTCTGCAGTTTTTGTTTATGGATTGTGAATTTATCTTTCGAGTTCAGGAACAGACAGGAGTTCCTTCCTCTCAGCCCCCGGCCTGGGTGGAGTGGGATCAGTTGCTTTTTCTTGTGTCGTCGTTCCCGGCCCCCCCCCTCCCCCCCGTGAGTGACTTCCACCTCCTGTCATCCATGAGAGCGTCAGCCACTTTCCAGGCCCATGTCCTCTTGCTGCCTTCCTGACCGGGGTTTGCAGAGAGCAGGGAAAGAGCCATGACTACAACTGGGATTTCTGAATGGTGTAGCTTGATAGCCGTTCGGAAAAATTCTAGATGTAAATCTCTCTGGTGACTTAGGAAAGGAAGTGTAATCAATGTCAGGTTCATGGTTATCCAGAACATATCAGCACTGACCACCCCATTCCCTTTTTACTGAAGGATAGCTGGGAGATCACGGACTTGGGTTGACACTATTTCTTGCTGTTTGCGGAAAGCATTGACAAAGTCTACCCGTCTCGTGGATACACAGGCAGGATGCTACTGCCATGAGGGGGATTTATAATACACAGGACAGCTGAAGAGCATAGATGAAGGATTTCAGCCTATACCGTGGCTTCTAAAATATGATGGGAATAAGGTAGACCATGTGGCACAACCTGTAGGAATGGGCAGTGCCATTTGTCATATGCCATTTGAGCCAAGTATCTTTACTATTATGATATTTAATAACAGGAAAACCAAAGCTACCTGTTACTTGATAGCACAATATTAAAAAGAGACAGAAAATCTTAAGTCAATCCAAAGAGAAGAATGGGTTAAAAAAAAAAAAAGAGATTGAGAAACCCTGGTTTAGAGCTTTCTGCCAATGCCAGCCCAACCAGGGGAAGTATTGAGTGGAGGAAGTGAAATTCAAGCTGGTACAATTTTTCTATCTTTGAAAAATTTCTGATCAGAGATCTGGAGGAGAAACTATTAAAACAATTGGGTTTTTTAAATGATCCATTTTATATCGTGCTATCACCGTTTTATTGGGCTGAGTAGATAAAATCCTTATAGTTTCAGGCCATTGCACTGTTGTTTGTTGCAAACATTGCTTAGAAGTTGACCCAGATAAACATTTAAAAAAATCTAAATAGGTCAGAGCTCCAGGATGTTAGACCTTTGATCTGCTGTGTAGTGGTAGCTTGTATTATAAATGTCCCAAGGTGGACACCTGCAAGTCACCTTGCCTTTAAGTAGCATCCTCACCATGACAGGACTTGTACCAGTGGGATGGGGCTATAGAACCCACTGAGGCGGCCACACTTATGGTGAGAAGTATGGTGAGGCTGGCACACTCATTCTGCTGGTGTTCAACTTTTCTAGAGGGCAAGTTGACAATGTATCAAAAGTCTCCAAAGTTAACACTTTGGCTTAAAGAATTCCATTTCCAGAAAATTCTCTTAAGAAAATAGATTATGATGATCGTGACGATAATGATGACAACACAGCTCATTTTTATTGAATGAGCCAGGCACCGATCTAAGTGTTTTATAGGCATTTCATCCTCATAATCACTCATGTGGCAGGTACTATAACATCCCCTTTGTTAGAAGAGGAAACTGAGGCACAGAGAGGACAGGTAAGTAACTTGCCCAAGGTCATTGGGTTGGGTTGCCGAGCTCTGATTTGAACCCAGGCAGCCTGCTTGAAAGCCTAGACTCCTAATCACCCTGCTTTGAAGATTTGAATGCAAGCGTGTTCACTGTGGTGTTATTTATACTAGTGAAAAGTGGGAGATAACCTGTATTTTCAATAGCAAGGCAATTAGTGAATAAGTTGTGATATATCCACAAAATGGAATCTTGGGCAGCCCTTAAAATTCATGTTCTTGAAGGATATTGAAAGATATGGAAAATACAGATGAAAAAGTATTAAATTAAACGTGTTATGAAACAATTTTATATTTAAAAAAATTAAGTGTGAAGTTGTGAATGTATGTGTGCAATTGTTTTCATATTTTTGTTTTTGAGGGGGCTGGTAAGATTATAGGTGTTTTAAATTTTGTTCTTCGTACTTTTGTTCATTGCTCCAGTTTTTACGTTGAATTGTATTTCTGGCATATAATTTAAAAGATTGTACAGTATAAATAATGTTGCTTCATTCATTCACGTCTGGTACTTGATCGTCTGAGTAAACATGAAAACCTCTCTTTGCGGGACGAGGACACCAGGTGGCGCTCTTGGACTCTGACCACCCTGTAGAAAGCCACTGCAAGAAACCAGAGGGATCGGACTAAGGCGTTTGTTTCTTCTGTACATGCCCATTTGAGCACAGATTTAAACTCGGTGTTCTTACATATATTTTTTAGCTGATTCTTTCCCAAATACAGTAAGCACAGATCAGGGGCTGATGCGGAGATAGTTTTGAATGGCAGAACTTGATTACACGTTAAGCTGAATTGATCTTTCCCCCTGTGTTGTTTGTATTGAGGGCTGTGGCTGCAAGTAAGGTCTTCTCCATCCATAAGTGCTTCGTGCCCACGCTGCTGTCTGACTCAATGTAGTCCCTCTTTTCCCTACAGAAGCTCGTTTCCAGATCGACTCTAAGACGACAGGGAAGAGAGAGCACCAAAGAAGGAAATGGGGTCGGGGTTAATTCTTCCAACCGACTTGGTATCAACAACTTTGAGTTCATCCGAGTGTTGGGGAAGGGGAGCTTTGGGAAGGTGAGTCTTGGCTTTCCCTGTTTGTGCTAAAGTAACCATATCACGTGTGTGTTGTTTGGGTGTGTGTATATGTATACACACTCACATTCCCTGCATGCCATCCCCTTTCTGCCATGTGTGCCCGCATCCTAAGACCTGCAAAGTTCTCACACTCCTTCCTTCTGCATTCCCACAGGTGATGCTTGCAAGGATAAAAGAAACGGGAGACCTCTATGCCGTGAAGGTGCTAAAGAAGGACGTGATCCTGCAGGATGATGATGTGGAATGCACAATGACGGAGAAAAGGATCCTGTCATTGGCGCGCAATCACCCCTTCCTCACGCAGTTGTTCTGCTGCTTTCAGACCCCTGTAAGTGTGACGCACACTCCCTGCCCACGTGGCCTCCTTTCCTAAAGACTTGACACAATCAGATGTTGAAGATTTTGTAAAACAGAATATCAGGAACTTGGCGGGGGGGTACTAGGCTCCCATGGTAGGGCCAGATGAGGGTACCCAGTGACTTCCGAAGGCACTAAAACCAGTGAATTAACCCTTTCTTTCATGCTGTCCTGGAGAAGGGTCACTTTGAGGCTTAGTGTCCTAAGATTGAAAAGGTCTTCATATGTACGTCTTCTCTAGCAGAGTGAAGGTTACAGAAGTCTAAGAATAAAGTAAATGGCATAGGCTGCTTATCTCGGTGACTTTGACCTTGGCTCCACGCCTAAATGCTTAAGAAGAGTTCAGACCAAGATAGGCCCAGAGCGGGCACCTTGATTTGTAATGTCCCATGACATTGCTCCTGGCCTTAATCAGGGACACTTAGCTCCATTCTGTGGACTGATCTGGGAGTACAGCCCGTCTACCCTATAATGGTGTGCGATTAGGAATGCTTTTGGCTGCAGTTAACAGACTACCCAACCAATTGTGGTTTACACAATAAACAGAAAGGATGAGTTTAGTTCTTTAGTACAAACTTTTTTTCTAGAAGAGTCTGGCAGTAGCAATGTTGGGGTGGGATTAGTTGCTCAGTGACATTGGGCATCTCTTTCCCTTGGGGTCTCAAGTTGTTCGCCACAGTCCTAAACATCACATCTCATATGGTAGCATCTGAAGCAGAAAGCATGGGGACAGGCACGAGGGCTGCATGGGTCACTCTCCGTTTATCAGGGAGAAGAACATCTTTTGAGACTCGAGTCACCTGCTCACCCTTAGCTACAAAGGAGTCTGGAAGAGCAAACATCTAGCCAAGATAAGCTGGTTTACCGTGATAGACTCCCACCAACTCTGACTTCATCCCCTAGGGTGGGGCACTGTGCTCCCCAGTCAGCACTGGGCTCAGAGCTGGGCTGCTGTTGTCAATGAAGTGGGAAGATGGCTCCCGAGAAGGCACCACGAGGGCCTGCCACAGATATTTCAGAATCTTCTTATAGTCAAAAGGTGTGCTGGGAGAGTGAATACAGGACACGTCCTTTGTATGGGGCGTGCCACCTGGTTCAGGGATGGTGCAGGGAAAGTAACAGCAAAGCTGGAGCCAGAAGGGTGAGTTAGAGTTAGTTAGACAAAGAGAATGAAGGCACGTATACCATATAGGGTAACAGCCTATGCACAGGCATAGCAGTGAGCAAGAGCGTGAGGTGTGAATACAGCTCAGCATGTGTGAAGTATGGAGGTTGACGAGGGGCCTGGTGAGAACTGAAGCTGCAGGACTAGCCGGGGCCAGGCTCCGAAGGGCCTTGTAGGTTGGGTTAAGAAGCTTGGATTTTAGACTAAGAGCAAATGGAAGAAATTTAAGCAGAGAAATGATATATCAGGTTGCATTTTCAACTAGAAAGCTAATTTTTTATAATAGGTAATATAAGAATCCTCCGAATGTCCATATTCTTTCTCTGAAAGAAATAATTATTACTCATTTCATGTGTAGCCTTTCAAAGAATTTTTTGCACATGAAAGCATACGTGCATACCACATATGTGAGTATGCATTCATATTTATTTTTTAAAAAACAAATGGTAGTATACATTGTCCACCATTCTATACCTTTTTTTTCCTTAAACTGTAATAATAGATATTGGAGATTGATTCATACTTGTACATATCTAGCTGCCTCATTATTAACGCCTACATAATATTCCATTTTAAGAATATGACACAATTCATTTAACTTGTTTCCTATTGCTATATATTTAGGTTGTACCTGGTCTTTTATTTCAGTCAATGTTGCAGTGAATCCCCTTCTGCCTTTATCTTTACATTTTGTGCTATTAATTCTATATGATTCTTGACTAGAAGTTGTACTGCTTGGTCAGAAGTATATGCATTTAAAATTTTGACTGAGTCCAGTTGGTCTTCTCCCCCATAACAGTTAAAGATAGCTAACATTGGGCTGGCCAAATGGTTCAGTTGGTTAAGAGCGTGAGCTCTGAGCAACAGGATCGCTGGTTTGATTCCCACATGGGCCAATGAGCTGTGCCCGAGCTGAGCTGCTGCTGAGCTGCCAACAGGTGGCAGGATAGCTCAGCTGGTGAGAGCATGTGCTCCTAACAACAAGGTTGCCAGTTTGACTCCTGCATGGGATGGTGGGCTACGCCTACCCGCAACTAAGATTGAACAAGGCACCTTGAGCTGAGCGGCCGCGAGCTGCCATCGGGCAGCCGGATGGTGACAGGACTTGGAGCTAAGCTAGCTGCTCCCTGCACAGCTAAGATTGAAGGACAGCTTGGCTGTTCCCCTTCCCCAATTCCCCAACACTGTTCCCCTTCCCCAATTTCCCAATAAAATCTTAAGAAAGATAACTAACATTTTACCACCTATATACTAGGCACTGTTCTAAGTAATTTACGTGGATTATCTCATTTAATCCTCATGGTAACCCTGTGAAGTAAGTTCTGTTACCATCACTCCCATTTTATAGATGAGGAAACTGAGACACAAAGAAATTTAGCTTCTGAGTGGCAGAGATTTTGACTCCAGGCAATCTGACTGCAGAGCACAGGCTCTTACCACCTAGTGAATTTCTAAGTTCACACTCCCAAACCATGTGTGAGCAGCCTGATTTCCCCCACCCTCCCATCACTGCATGCTACCTATCATTCTGGTGATTGGAGAGATGTAAACAATGGCTTCTTTAGAGTCCCAGTTTTCATTTCCCTGTGAGTGAGGCCGAGCATTCGCATATGTTTAAGGGTCACCTGTGTTCAAATCTTTGTTGAAAAAGACATGTGCAGCCTGGAGAATGGGTAGGGTAGGGAAGACTGCAAGCTGGGAGATGGGGGGACATATTAAAGGGGATGTACAGTGTGAACTCCTATGCTGTCCAATCATGTTGGGAGGAGATGGGGAATCAGCTGATAGCTTTTTAGGCCACAGTTCCCCCTGCACTCCTTTCTCCTTTGGGGCTGGGCTCCTTGAGGTCACACCCTCCTGACCTCATGGTCTGCTGCCCCTCCAGACAGCCCTGGACTCCATGTGCCCCTGCTGCCTTGCCACTGTTCCTCTGTCCCCATGTCTGGGGTCCATGGTTCTGCCTGTCCTCCACTGCTACCTGGAGTATCCCTGAAATGCTAGTTTCTGTGCTCTGTGCTTTACCTACATAAAGCCCTTCCCTGGCCTCCCCCATCATCCAGCTCTTTGCTCAGAGAGGAGTGGAGTGACAGCCCAGGGTTGAAACACCCTCTGAAGAAGGATGGTACCCTTTGGTGGGTGGTACTGGTCGTCTGCCTGAGTTTCAAGCTTGCACCTCCTGCTCATACCATGAATCAAGCCGCAGGACAGCTACAGCTCAGGTCATCTTCCCAGGGCCTGGGCCAAAGAGTAGATGGTTTCCTGTGACATTCGTTAGATGATCTCAGTCAGCTGATAACCTTTGAGTCAGACAGTTGATAGGCATGTAGTGAACGTAGTCTGCTCGTCCAGTGGTTGTTGTTTCAAGTTACTGAAATGAACAAATAAAGTGGCTCATATGCAACTCCAGGGCACTTTTACCTACAAAAGGAAATCCCTGTGATTGCATAGAAGTATTTAGGGGTGTTACCAGCAATTAGATTGCATTATGGTAGAGTAGAACAAGAAATTAACCTGAATAGATTGGGAGCCCAATGAAAGCAACATATACAACGCAGAATTTTCCAGGAAAATATAAATTACGCATTATTCCAAAATAGGAGTGGCCATATGGGATTTCAACAGTGTTCAGCCGGTTAAGCCTTCATTAGTATTGGCGGTCTATTTTTCTTAGTGACAGTTTCATGTGTGGCCACAAGGTGGCAGTCGTTACTGCAAGGTGATTTTTATTTCTTCACCAGAGATAGGAACTGACATTAGGGGTTCAGAATTTAGTTTTGCGGTAGATGTCTCCAAAGCAAAGGATAAAGGAATTTCCCCCTGTCCTAAGGCCAACTTAAAAGAATCAAGTGAGTTTTTCTCACTGAGATAGAAATATATGTATAATTTTCATTTTGCTATAATTTGTTCTTTCTCTCAGGTGTACAATGTATCAGACCCCATAATACATGTGGCATTTGCTTGCTGTGCATATGTCCATCTGTCAGAAGTCCTCAGTGATGATCCCCATTCGTTGTTGAAAACCTAACTGTAAATACAGAAAAATGTTAGTTACTAGGAGGAATCACAGCAGGTAGATTATTACTTTTTAGTTACTCAGTTTGGCAGGCCGTGGCTTCTAAAATGAGATGCTAACCGGTGTGTAATGCTGAGCTGTAACAATCTCCCCTGAGGAATTTCGAAGTGAGGTGTTGGAGTCATGCCCCAGCCATTTGAGAAGTATCACTTTATTGGGAAGACGTTGTAGAGGCGCTCCTCTCACGTGGAGCCAGTGTCTCTGAAGCCGAGAGACAGGGAGAGCTAACCTGCTGAGGGGCCCCTTAGACTGTAAGGGTAGAGACAAGGTTCAGCTCTGGGTCAGGCTGAGGCTGGGCCTGGGCTCTGTGCTCTGACTCAGTAGTCCTTTCACACATTAAATTTGAGGTGCTGGTAGATCAGCGGGAAGTCGGGAGAGTGCTGGCACTGGGGTGTTGTTACCACATTTTGGTTGTTGAATCATCATGTGCTTAAGCAACTCCTGTCTGCTCTGGCTGCTCTCCAACCTGCTGGCGGGGAAGCAGCATTGCCCTTGGAAATGGAAGAACTCCTCCGTTCTTCCAACTTTGGTTTTCCTCTGTCTGAATGGCTTGAGCCTACCTGAAAATTCCTTTGAGCCTTCAAGTGCTCGTGGTTAACAATGAAAGCAGGATTGATGTGAGGACCAAAGTTGAGGATGCAGAACCACTCTGTACACATGCAGCACTGCTCAAAAGTGAGTCAGCTCATTGTGGTGATGACTCCCTCCTTCCCACGCCAAAGAAAATTGCCCC